AACAACAGCAAAAATGGTGAATTCATGAAACTGGGCCTGGAGCTCTGTGTTTTTCGAAAGCACTTCTAAAAGACTAATTATAATAATTCACCTGGGTAATCTTCCAAATAATCCGGTACATTAGCAATAGTGGTCAATTCATAATATTGGTCCTAGACCTCAGCTGTTTTTTTTTAAGTACTTCTAGAAGACTCATTAGAATAAATTCGGACTTGTGACCGGAAAATGAACTCTATGGGCCACAAAGCGACATCTTGGAAAATCCAGAACAACCGTAAATTGGTCCTAGAGCTCAGCGGTTTTTTTTCGAAAGCCCTTATAGAAGACGCTTAAAATGGATGATCCGGAGCTGAGGATCTTAACTGGACCATGGAGGGTTAGAATTATCGCGTTTTGTAACGACCAGCTGTTCATTAAACAATAACGATCGGATAACGAAGAGCTCCTCGAATTGGTCGTAACGTAATGTTTTTGGGTGGAGTTCCTCCACAAAGATTAAGATTCCACAAGGCAGATAGCCTCAGCCGTGTGATGTTAGCGTTAGCGTTAGCGTTGTTATGATATACTTCGTAGATTGGATACTAGCGACACTCACGTCTCTTCTGAAATTCTCAGTTAGACTACTTTCAGGAATAATGCTGAGGAGTAAACATTGGTTCCAATCTAAACAAGAGTAACAGAAGCATGACTGTCGCTATTCCCGGCCACGCCCATCTTTACCATAACTAGGGATAGGGAAGGAAATGTTGATGTAGTACTTACTTAACGAGAGGCCACCGACTTAGCGACACCCTCATAAGTGAGTAGCCTCAGCCGTGTGATGTGCAGCGAAAACTTCAATGATCAGTCTCTTTGGAAGCATTACACAGCTTTGACTCTGTATCTATCGCAATGCTTCATTAGATAATAGTATCGTCGTCAGTTTCGACCCCTCGAGTCGAGTCTAGAGTCTAGAATTTTGGGCAGAACTCCACAACATTCATGACCAACATTACGCTTTGATTGCCATGAAAGCCTTCCAAAATCATCTATGGTACTTATCGGAATGGAACGTGGCTCTTGCATTTTTGACGTAGGACTACGTCTGTGATTTCTATATAGGGGTACACTTTGTGCAAACCGAAAATGGAACATGTAACAAAATTATGAAAGATTTTGAGCGTTAATAACTCAGCTGCCCCTGAACCAATTTCAATAATTTTATCACCAATCGATCAAAAATATTTCTACGCATCTGCAAAATTTAAGACTTCATCATTTTATAGAACGTCACTATTGAAAATTGCCTGAATGTGCAACTGTTGCTATGATAATTTAACAGGGTGTCCATTCAAATTTCTTTTTTCAATTCCCGGTTTTTAAAAAAACTCTACCTTAAACAAAAAAGGCGTTCAAAAATAACCCAAATGCACCTACTGCGTTGTCTCACTTTGATCCGTCAGTGTAGACAGTCGAAGCACGATTGAACCGGCTTGAAAGTAATTCATGCACAATGGGGCGATGAGGATCTCCAGTTTTCACCTGCCGTCTCACGTCCCATACAATACGTGGCTTGGATTCATGCCACCTTCGGTTGGTGAAACGCGTCCGCTAAGTGATGTTAGGGAATCGTTGATCGACCATCAGTCGGTTGCTTGTTGTACAACAGGAAGGTCAACATTTCTGTGTTCCTTCTCCAGCATACGAATGGCAACACGAACTAAAGCCTGAAGAACCAGGAGGTCAAACGGTAAGGTACCCGCTTCATGCGTGCGAGATTTTGAATCACGGAGTCCTTCGTAACGCCGTCTGAGAGTAACGCCGTCTTCGGTACAACCACCCAATCGATGCAGATATCGTTGCTGGGCTCCTCCGGTTTGGACTGCAATAGAAAATGTTGGATTTTGTTGCGAGGATTTTGAAACCGATGCTTTTAGCCCACTTGTCGATAGTTCTCACAGCAGCTTGCAGGTCACGATACAGAGGTTGCTCCTTATTCCTCCGTACTACGAGTAAGATATCGTCTGCATACAAGAGTACGTTTACTGTATGCGGCATCACTCTGAAGATCGGTTGCACTGCTACCAGGAACAGGGTGACAGATAGTACTGACTCTGGAGGAACGTCGTTCTCCAATGATAAATGTCTTTCCACGTTCACCCGGAATGTTCTGTCGGCGAGGAAACTGTTCAGTACCTTGAACATCCGCCCCCCAATCTGCTACTTTCGTAGAGTACGCAATATGCTGAATCTCCAAGTGGTGTCATACGGCTTCGAGAGATCGAAAGATGCTATCCAGCAATGTTCATCTATGTGGCAGTGTCCTATCCAACCCGGTCAGCTATGAAGACGTGTTGCCTTTTGTCGAGTCATCCGTTTGACTCCAGCTCGGTTGTTAATCTTCGGTTCACGATACGCTCGAACACCTTCTCAATACCGTTGGTCAGCGGCAGGGCTAGACTCTGTAGAATTCGGTTGCAGGATTGGCACTATTATTCCAGTTCGCCAGCTGGTCGGAAAAACACCCCCATGCCATACTTTGTTGAGCAGCTCTAGGAGCGCAGTCTTGATAGACAGAGGAAGTCGTCGGAGCATCGGATACTTCTTTAGAACTTTGAGGGGTTTACAAGGAATTTCCGAAAGGAATCCGACGAGAATAGTAATGTAATTCATAGGGAATTTTTAACATATAGGGAAAATTTCTCTGATGTTGGCCTATGGACCTAAGATTGGGCCCATCGCTAAAGAACTGCTATTTATCAATTTTATCTAGATGAACGCGTCATTGGGACGATACTAATAGATATTTTTGGTCGCTATTGAAAATTTAGTCGATTGCTGAATTTATGTATGGGCCCAAATAAGGGGAGTTTAGGCCGACATTACATCCATTTCCCCTATACCATTCCAGGAAGGAGATTCGGAAGATTCCGAAGAGAATTCCAAGGAAATTTCAAGAAATTCTCTCAACGGAATTTTAAGAACAATTTCAAAAGAATTCTGAGAAACAGTTCCATATAATTCTGATGTGAGGTCCAAGGTAAATTTAGGACAATACTATGGGCAACCTGGAGTGAATTACAACAGCAAGGAAATTCTAACAATAATTCCTAGATGATTCAGATGAGAATTCTGAAACATTTTCAAAAGTCTGTGACATTAGAAGCTTTCAAGGTTCATAAATTTACTAATAAAATCAAGTGCCTGAAGCATTAATGATTCTCCCTGGAATTATTTAGAATAAATATTTTCAAGATCGGAGACTTGACAGATTTTTAAAACTCTGGGACTTTGGTAATTTGATTAGATCTCAGACTTAATTTTTGGTATCTCGTACTAACAGAATGTTAAGAATTGCTAGCTTGACAGAATTTTCAAGATATTGGACTTAGAATTTGTACTGCCGGACATAGCCCAGACAACCAGAATGCACGTATATTCAAAGTTGTTTTCGTGATATACAAACATATATACAAACAAACAAGTCGTATAGAATGCAAAGAAATGGCTTATACGTACAAAAGTGGAGGCCATATACGTGCATATTTTCGTTTAATTTTAAACGAGTTGATTTAACATCATATGCAATTTGATCTGTAATAACAAATCCATTTTGAAAAGTCTTACGATGTAATCCGATTAAATTTGTGATACAGTACGACGCAAAAATGAGTCATCGCATATAAGTTGGAAATTTGCATTATATACGATTTAACTTAAACATAATGCGAGGTATGCCATTCTAAAATATGCGATTTTGACTTAAACTGTAGCAATTTACGATACTGTCTGTACATTGTTATACGACTTCTGGTTGTCTGGGAGGATATTGAAACATTTTTGAGATAACATAAATCAAGTGCCTGAGGCATGGATGATTCTCCCTGGAATTATTTAGAATAAATTTCATGGTCGGACACTTGACAAATTTATAAAACTCTGGGACATTGGTGATTTGATTAGATCTCAGACTTAATTTTTGGTATCTCGTACTAACAGAAAGTTAAGAATTACGAGCTTGACAGAATATGCAAGATATCGGACATAGTATTTGTATTAACAAAATTAGATTAACACTCCGAACACGATGCCTTAGGTAAAATGTGTAGCCACAAACTGAAAAATCTTAACATCGTCATATTTATTGACGAATTGCAAATCTATTGGTGCCATTAGAAACTAGATACTTAAAAGATTTATTCGGTATCAATATATTTAAAATCTATCAATAAATTTCTGAGCAATGATTATTCAAACATTGCCAATTTGCTGTTACACATTTTACCGGAGTGTTAATAAATCATCTAATTTTAAGGATCAAGCCAAATTCCCGGTTTTTCCTGGTTGTTTTAGATTCCGATTAGTTCCCGGTTTTTAAGGTTTTCTTGGGTCAGTTGATGCCCTGAACATCGCTTCTTTTTATGTGCTTTTCGCTTAGTAGGGGTTCACGAACCTCCGGTTGATAATTGATGTACTAGATCAACTATTGTTTATACGATATAAATCCAAGCAAATCTATGGAATACAAGCGAATCATATCTGATCGAATAACATGATGATCTAGATTTTCCTAATTATCCTCAGAATTATACAGCAGATATCATCAAAGCTCAGATTGATCTCAGGTCAGGTTTTCAACTCGACTAATTGCAGAATTTCTTACCACTCTAATGGATCTTGTGATTTTACAAATGAGAAATGATTCAAACTCCAATTTTCAAACATACCAAATTATCTCAAACTCCCAAATAAAAAAAAATAATATGCGAACGATAATCTAAATGAAATAACTATTCCACAAATGGTTTGGATGGTAACCCGAACACGTCGTTAAGTAAAATAATTAGGGTAATCTACGCCCAATGATACCTATTAGTTAATGTTCCACTCTCATTCGACTTTTGGTGATTTTTTTCTTTCTTTCGATGACCATTGGCATTTCAGCTCATGCTCGAAGAAGCAGTCGTTCCCAAAAAAAAAGTGTCAAAGCCCCTAACAATGTTCAATCAAAAGGTACTTACTGCACGACATCTCGTCGGATCCGTCCGGGCAGTCCCGGTTCTGGTCGCACATCCAGGCCAGCGGAATGCAAGTACCCGTTCCGCTGCGGCACGTAAACTCCTCCGATGAGCAAACTTTGCTTTCTGGCGGTGGCGGCGGTTGATGTTGTTTGTTCGATGTTTGTTGCATGCAAGAAGAAATCGAATGAAGAGGGGAAAAACACATTTTTTCGATGAGATTCCGTTGGATATTTTCGGTGGAAACGCTGATTTAAGCTCTGTGCAATTATCATTAAGAGTGGATTAAATACCGCGCTTGGCGGCGAAACGTGCATTGTTCAACAAGCAACGATACAAAGCAGGATGTTAATCACAGTGGTTAATACATTTCATGCGAAGTCCGAAAATAAAATTAATAACGCAAAATTGAAATTGGAGCTTACTTATGACACCATGATAGTAGCAACAAAGAAGACAGATGAAAGCTTATTTTTAATTAAATGTTAAACAAAGGCGACGATAGATAGAGTTTTCCGAATCTACAAGTTTTAAAAATCAAATCTAACGCAGTTTTTTAAAAGTAACAGTAATCCTAACTAGCAAAAAACAAACCTAAAGAAACGAAAAAAAAATGCCACCTAATAAAAAGCCGGAGGGCATGCATATTTGATCAGCGTCGTTTTTTTCTCCTCAAACAGAAGGATACAAAAGGAATTGAGCGGTATGTATATGTGTGTGTGTGCACGCTGGATAGACGATGAAAAAGGTTGAATGCCATAGTCGAGGGATGTGTCCTCGGATATGTCGAGAATTTAATTTACACCTCGTACGAAAGGGAATGGAAAATGCTTCTTCGTTGATGTCGGTAGACTGTACTGCTGGGGTGGGTCATGGTTGAACGGCGAATTGCAATTTCCACACGGCTTCTCTGTGACCGTCATAAGGTGATCCATGACGACGTTTCGCAGTTGAACTGACAGCTAAAAAGCTGTGAGTGTGTGAGTAAGTAGGCGTGGGGCGAGGCCAGATGTAAACACAAACAAAGCTATTTTCAATGGCAAAGATTTGTCAGTTCTACTGTGAACTGTCGAAACTACTCTGTAATTAAACAAATCAACTGTCCGCAGCTGTCTCAAGGATAGCCTTATTATCACCAAAAACTGCCCATCAAATCTATGTATACCAGTCGATATAGTTGGTAAACTTTTGTCACAGACAAACAGACATAACACTCACAAGTTGCTCATCGAACAAGCATTTAACGGTTAATTTAAAAATATCTCAGTTGGCTTGTGGCGCGCATAGTCAATTCCCTTGCGTTTGACGTTTACACACTACCGCCATCTGTTCAGCGTACTACCAACCACAGTGTACTCACCAGATGGCGGTAATGTTTTAGAGACGATGTTTTACAATGAGAAATATTCAATGTGTTATGTCTGTTTGTCTGTGCTTTTGTATTCTCATGCATCCAAAGATTTTAAAAGATTTTCCCCGAAAGTCTCAATTTTCTGAATACGTTTGTGCAATTTCACTACACTGTAGCTTGCCTGGATAAATACCAAAAAAAATGAACAGTCTTCAACAAAGTTGTTCAGAAATTAATGATGAACAACGTTGTAGAACATTGTACGCCCCTAATAATTATACCAAGCTAATTTAGAATTAGAACAAGTTGAACTAAGTCGCTACAACCATTAGTACTTTGCTATATCTACTAGACCTAAAGAACAAAAGTTGGCTTTTGTTTTGTCCCGAATGAGGTCCAAATCAGGTGTGTTTAGCAAAAGTATTCAATAGGCTCCATAGAATGTCTACCATTACTTTTCAACGTGATGAGAGGGACCAGTGGCACAGCTAGGATTTCGGTCTAGGAAAAGGGAGGGATGATACGGTTCTATGATCTATTTTCTATTGAATTATCAGTTACATTCTGGAAACCATTTTCCGCTAATTTCTCCAAAAATAACGTTTCCCAATTCTGGGGAAGCTAGTTCGATTTCCTGGTAAAAAGGGATGCTAAAATTACAATTTCACACCGACCAGGAAGCCACTCCCGGGAAATTCCCCAAGTAACATGGCCGATTTTATCGCGGTTTTATAGCATTCTACAAATCTAAATCATGGTCTACAGAACCCTCATAAAACCGAAATTGTTACTTGGGTCATTCTGTGTAGAAGTATCAAATTCAAAGATCTTTAAAAAAATGCAGAGAGCTTCTGGAAAGTTTTGAGAATTTCGTAGCCCTTTCATGAAAGTCCGGAAAATTGTGAAAACTTTAGGGAAGTTCCAAAAATATCTGATATCATAAGAATTACAGATGTTCCAAGAACAAAGTACAGAAAACTTCAACGAAGTTAAGAGTCCCACGAGCGTCAGAAAAATGGCGAGAACTCAGAAGAAGATCCAATTAAAATTAGCTTGAGTTAGAACAAGTTGAACTAAGTCGCTACAACCATTAGTACTTTGCTATATCTACTAGCCCTAAAGAATGTCCCGAATGAGGTCCAAATCAGGCGTGTTTAGCAAAAATATTCAATAGGCTCCATAAAATGTCTACCATTACTTTTCAACGTGCTGAGAGGGACCAGTGGTAGAGCCAAGATTTCGGTCTAGGCAGAGGGTTGTGAAAATAACGTGATTTAAAAAACAATCTATTTTCTATTGAATTACCAGTTATATTCTGGAAACCATTTTCCGATAATTTCCCCAGAAATAACGTTTCCCAATTCTAGGGAAGCAAGATCGATTTCCTGGTAAAAAGGGATGCTAAAAATACAATTTCACTAGCACACACCGACCAGAAAGCCACTCCCGGGAAATTCCCCAAGTAACAGTGCAGGTTTTATCGCAGTTTTAAAGCATTCTACAAATCTAAATCATGGTCTACAGAACCCTCATAAAACCAAAATTGTTACTTGGGTCATTCTGTGTAGAAGTATCACATTCAAAGATGTTTATAATAATGCAGAGAGCTTCTGGAAAGTTTTGAGAATTTCGCGGCACTTTCATGCGAGCCCGGAAAATTGTGAAAACTTTATGGAAGTTTCAAAAAGATCTGGAAATTTCTGATAACTTCAGGTGCATTAGATTAACTTCATAAGAATTGCAGGAACTTTACAGATGTTCCAACAACAAAGTACAGAAAACTTCAACGAAGTTAAGAGTCCCATGAACGGCAAAAAAATGGCGGGAACTCAGAAGAAGATCCATGAGCTTTTGGAAATTTTTAAAAACTTATGCTAGTAGCACAGACAAACAGACGTAACTCTTTGAAAAAGTTATCCTTGAAAACATAGTATCAAAACATAGAACCTCAGTAACGACATCTCTCGGGATTCTCTCGGAAAACAAGCTTGCTCGCTAACTCGAAACAATATTGCATTAAAGTTCTATAGAATGTATATAAACGTCAAAGTGATCCGATGCCAGCGCTGCGGCGAGTAGTTCGCGGAACTCATAATATTCAAATCAACCGTTAAATGCGTGCACGAAGATACACAATGAAGAGTTACGTCTATTTGTCTGTTCTAGTAGCATCATAAAAGTTGCGAGATCTTTCAGGAAGATCGGAAAATTTCATGTAAATTCCAAGAATGTAAAGGAGTTTGCAAGAATTTAAAGGAAATTCCAAGTATTTAAAAGAAAATTCCGGGAACGTCAAGAACGTCCAGAACGTTCAGAACAATATAGAAGTTTTAAGATCTTTAGGCTAGGTTCAGATAGTTTCAGGGTAGTTCCATAGATTTCATGAAAGTTTAAAGAACTTCAGTGAAGATCCAAGAGCTTCAGAGCAGTTATATAGATTTTTGTAAAATTGCAGGAAAACCTTAAATTCAGTTTAAAGATCTTAAAGGAAGTTCCAAGAACTTCAGGGAGAAGTTCCGAGAACTTCAGGGAGGGCAATTCCAGAAACATTATCAGAAGAGTAGAGGAAAAATAAAAAAAACTTCAGGGTGTTCAACAAAAATTGTAGGAACTTTGAAGAAATTCTGAGGAATGAAGTTTCAGGAACAGACTTCGAGGTAGTAAGGAAACTTCTGTAAAATATCGGACACTTCAGGCAAGCTTAGTGAACTTTAAGGTGGTTCCACCAGCTTCAGGGAAACTGCAGGAACTTTTAACAAGTTATTGAAACTTCCGAGATATCCCCGAGAGCTTCAGGAAATTAAAGAAAACTTCAGAGAAGTTTAGAAAACTTTAGGAAAATTGTGGAAACTTTAGAGAAGTTCCCAAAACCTAGAGATTATCTGGGAAGCTCAGAGATTTTAAGGCTGTCACAATAACATCAAGGATGTCCAGATTTTCGGGCAACTTTAAAAACCTTGAACGTTAGTTAGGATGAATTCAGGACAGCACCATGAACGTCATCAGACGTTTTAAGAAACGTAAAAAAGGTCCAGGAATTTCAGGAAAGTCCAGAGAAGTCCTCGATATTTTAGAAAAATCTAGACATATTTTCTGAATTTCAAAGATGGTCAGATATTTTCGGGGAAGTTGAAAGATGTTTAGGACAGTTTCATTTATTTCAGGGAACTTCAGAAGAATTGCAAGAACCTTAGAATGGCTTCGAGGAACTCAGGGCAGTTTAATAAACTGCAACTTAAATACAGGAACTTAACAGAAGATCCAAGAAACTTGGGGAATTTCCAAAAATTTCAGCAACGCTCCGATATCTTCAAAGTCTATCACAGAACTTTAGAGATCTTTAAAGGTTTTTAAGCAGTTTTATTATTGTCAGATATGTTCCAAGCAGTGATGGCATGATCATTAGCCAATTGATATTTTTTCCACTCTCATTCGCTCCCAATATCACGCGTGATATTGGAGAAAAATATAATGCTTGATATTGATTTTACAAGCTCCTTTGATATTGCGAGACTATTCACAACGTGTAAAGTTGAGACCTCGAATGAAGCTGACGCAAAAATGATTCCGTTGCACCTCGTGTTCTTAGAAAGAGAAGGTAAACTAATGCTATCTCTTTTTTATCTTTACCGATGGCAGACACGAAGCGACTGCTGGTAACCGTTGTGGAAGTTTCGGTTGCGTTCGGCTGTAAAGCAAAATCATGAAACTCAATCTCACCACAGTTTGGAGAGATTTGCAGCTGGTGAGGTTTGTTAGATTGATATTCCGAGCT